ACTGACGCTCCAAGAAATTCTTCGGCCGTGGGAATAGAGGGGAGGCCTCTAAACATCTGGAAGTATATGGGAAAATCGAAACCTGCATGAACCACCGGACCTGCCGAGCGTACATTGGTGGAATTAAAGCTTGATTCACTTGCTGAGTCCTTCCAATTCGTTCGGTTTGCAGCCAGCGCTTGCGTTAACGTCCATCTGCAAGGAGCAACAAGGGAAAAGCAACAAATCACAGTCCTGACTCATGACCATGTTGATGACAAAACCGCATGGCACAAGGTCCTTTCTGTCAGAAAGTAGGGGGCGAATAAACTCAAAGTGGAGTTACGCCATCTACTGGAGCCAACTCCGGACCGTTTCGCACGCATGGACCCTCCTGAAGCCATCAAAGGCTCCTGTTTGGCGATGCCTGCCAGGCACCCAAAAGTTTCATGGGAACCCAGGGGTGCACAGACGTCCGGAGAACTGGCATTGAGAGGTCATTCTTCTTCAGGGGGAAACACACCCCTGTCAATGTTGACCATGTATGGTTGGAAGAGTCCGTGTTTTGCGGGTAAGCGATCCCTCTTCCATGCATCGCTGCAGGGAAAGGGCCCCTTCTGCAAATCCGTCGTTCTTTGGAGAAACCGTCAACATGCTTTGGTCAGAAGGTAGGCCCCCCCAAAAAAACATAATGAGAAACTCGCGTTCAAATACTGTAGCGCTGGCAACGGTTCACCAACCGCCATGACCTCCAAAAGACTTCAGTGAAAGCTAAGCTACAGCCTGTTGAAAGAAAGGCCAACCAGTCCTGGATCCGGCTGACCACGCCTTGCTTCCTGGAATTGCAGCGACACCCTGCAAAGACGCAAACTGTTTATGTCTCCTTCGCAGCCTGGCGCTGGCCGCTCTATTTAAAGCTAGTTCTGTCGCTCTGTTGGCGCGGCCGCCTGCTTCGACGGGGGTGGGAATGGATGTTCACTTCTGAGGATTCTGTGCCAAGGGAAGGCCTTCTAAGTGAGGTAGCTGTTTCCCTTCACAGAAGTGGGAACCAACCCCACTCTAGCGCAAGGCGCCATTGGGAGCGCAGAGCTTGTTGCTTGGAGCCAGTCCCCCCGCAACCATCCTGGCACACCATCCGTGGCATGGGACAAGCTCTGCGCTCAAAATGCCTGGCCGGGCTCGGAAAACTCCCTCTTTGGGCTAAGGGATGCGACACCATGGCCAAGCATCGTGGGCGGGTTAGGCTATAAAGCGTGTGGCTTCCCTTGGCCAAACGGCCTCTCACGTGCCTCTAATAGGGTACCTGGGAACCCTTGCTCCACTCCCAGGTTGGGGTCAACAAGCGCCATCTTTTGGGGGCATGCTAGGGATTGACTTGGTGGCAGCTGAGAGTTTCTCGCGGCTGGTTTTGCTGGGCTTGCTGAAATCTCACTGAGGGCGGGTCTTGGGTTTGTTTCGGGCTCACATTAGGCTTGGGAAAGGGCTGATATCCAGGATGCTGTTGGTGTTTAAGCCGACCAGCCAACTCAACCCAGTGGCCAGTGACTCGTTTGGTAGACAAAGGAAACAACTTGTGTTTTTATTGAGAGGGAGGGGGGGTGTGAGCATGCTGGCGGAAGCGGAACCGGCTAAGCAGCTTCCCGGTGTAGCAAATTCGGCTTAGCCCCAGCTCGGCCAAGCCGGGTGTTCAGCACAAAGTCCGAGTCCAACGTGTCTGAAACAACATGTTTTAGGTGTACACCAGGGTGAGAGCGGACAGAGCAATTCCCCCATTCGGTTTCTACTTTCACCCTTGGGCCGCTTGGGCCCTTGGGGCGGGGTCTGCGATGATGTGCTGGACTGAATTGCTCCGTACCTGTTACCCCCCTTATGGCCCGCACCCGGGGAGTGGCTACATACCACCCGGCGACTCTAACACGTTCCCTTTTCGCAGACTAAATGCTTTCACACGCCCAACATCCCCAGCATCGCTTTAGCATCCTCAGCAGCACCCCCAGCTAGACAAAATTCCTGGAAAACATGAGCAAACATGGTCAAGCCACGTGTGTCTTACCGGGACCTTTCGCAAATAACTGAGGAAATTGCAAACAGCAACCTACAACAATTCCCAGCTAGGGAAAATTCAGGAACAAAAGGTCCCACTTGTGTCTTGTGAGCGCCTTTCCCAAATGGACGAGGAAACTGCAAACAACAACCTACAAGCATCCCTTGTGGGAGCCTTTCCCAAATGACTGGGGAAGGTGCAAACAAAACCTACGGGTTTTCCGAAACACATATGCACTGTACTTGCACGACGCAGACAAGAAAGCAGTCCCACAATGACGGCGGTCTGAACCGGCGGCATGAAAGTTTTGGGGCCCGTTTTTCTGCTCACTTGAGCCACACCCCCAGCCACGGTTGGTACACATAAACCTTCATAATTAAAATGGACATGCGTTTTCTTTTTTCCCCGAAGGCATTGCGAAGGGCTTCCATGCGGAGCTCTTGGTCAACTTGCGCAGAGTAGCTTGCACAGGAGTCACCAGCATGGAGATATCAGGAGCTCTTGGTCAACTTGCGCAGAGTAGCTTGCACAAAGGCACCAGCATGGAGATACCAGCATGGAGATACTCGCGCAGAGTTACTAGCACAGAGTAGCTTGCACATAGTCACCAGCATGGAGATACTTGCACCAGCATAGAGTCACCAGCATAGAGTTACTTGCGCAGAGCCAAGTGCAAAGAGCCAAGCGCATAGGGCCAAGTGCTCAGAGCCAAGTGCAAAGAGCGAGGTGCAAGGAGCCAAGTGCACAGAGCTAAGTGCACAGAGCCAAGTGCAAAGAGCGAAGTGCATCGAGCCAGGTGCATAGAGCCAAGTGCATAGAGCTAGGTGCATAGAGCTAAGCTAAGCTAGGTGTAGAGGCTCGGCGTTAGCAGCTGTGTAAGCTAGGTTAAGTAAGTTAGGTCAAGTACTTAACGCGCGGGAAAGAAAGAGAAAGAGCTCGGTATTAAGAATCTCTTCTAAGGCGGGGGGTGGGGATGTTGCCGACGATCGGGAATGCGACCCTCTGCGGAGATCGGCGTGGTCGAGGTGCAAAAACTCATGGTTGTTTTTGCGTTTTTTGCGGGCCCGCGCGACCCTCGTGGTCGAGGTGCAAAAACTCGAGGTCTTTTGCGTTTTGTGATGCTCCCGCGCGACCCTCTGCGGGGATCGGCGTGGTTGAGGTGCAAAAGCTCGAGGTTTTTGCTTTTTTTGTGGTGCCCGCGCGACCCTCTGCGGAGATCGGCGTGGTTGAGGTGCAAAAACTCGTGGTTTTGTTTGCGTTTTTGTCGGTGCCGCGCAACCCTCTGCGGAGATCGGCGTGGTCGAGGTGCAAAATCTCGAGGTTTTTGCGTTTTTAACATTCCCGGATGAACCCTCTGCGGGGATCGGCGTGGTCGAGGTGCAAAACCTCGAGGTGTTTTGCGTTTTTTTGCGGTGCCCGCGCGACCCTCTGCGGAGATCGCGCGTGTCGAAGCGCTCTCGCTGTGGCGCCGTGCGAATTCTTCTTAGTCTGCTCGCGAAATGGCCTTTGGAAGTTGTCTCGTGGTTGGTGCGCCTGCTTTCGCAATCCCGCGGTCGCGGGTTCGATTCCCCCCTGATCCGGGGCAGCTCCGGCTTGAAATCGCAGCTTTTAAGTAGAAACGTAGTACGCGGAGCGTGCTCCTGCAGCTCCGGCTGGAAAATCCAAACGTAGTATGCGGAGCGTGCTCCCGCAGCTCCGGCTGGAAAATCGCAACTTTTAAGTACAAACGTAGTACGCGGAGTACACTCCCGCAGCTCCGGCTGGAAAATCGCAACTTAAGTACAAAAAATAGTACGCGAAGTACATTCCCGCAGCTCCGGCAGCACTTGCGCAGAGCAACTTGCGCAGAGTCACTTGCGCAGAGCAACTTGCGCAGAGCAACTTGCGCAGAGCAACTTGCACAGAGCACTTGCGCAAAGCACTTGCGCAGAGCAACTTGCACAGACCAACTTGCACAGAGCACATGCGCAAAGCGCTTGCGCGGAGCAAGTGGCGCAGAGCACTTGCGCAGAGCAACTTGCTCAGAGCACTTGCGCAGAGCAACTTGCACAGGGCACTTTAGTGCAGCAGCTTGCAGAGAGCAACTTGCGCGCAGCAGCCTGGAACAATGCAGCTTGCGCAGACCACTTTCGCGAGAAATCGCGCGGCGCAGTTCGTGCAAAGCACATTGCGTCGAGCAGACCCGTGCAGAGCCAACTTGCACAGAGCCAGTTGCGCAGAGCCACTCGCAAAAAGTAGCTTGCGTAGAGCCAACTTTCACAGAGCCAAGCTGCGCAGAGCCATCTTGCACAGAGCTAAGTTGCGCGAGCGTGCTTTGCAGAAACAGTGGCCGTCGTGTAAGCTTTGCTATTGACTGCTTTTCCTTTTGCTTGTAATTTGTTTCGAGCTTTACGAGCTTTGCTCATCTTGTTTTAACGGATGTAAATATGTGGGATCGAGCACTGCCATGTTTCCTCTCGTAGCACGATGAGATGGAGCTCTCATGTGACCATACACATTGAGCATCGCCGCGTGCAGACACGCTCGCCGCAGCGACGTAAAAAGGTGTCTCCGCGGCTGGATGAGCACCTGGGAAAAATGCTTTCGGGCCAATCGTCCTCTAGTTTTTTGTTTTCTTTTTTTTTTCCGGGGGGGAAATGTACATGACCCATGTGAGGGTGATCCACGAAAAGGCGATTCCTCTAATCATGCTTCTTTGGGTGTGGAGATCCATGCGAACCTAGTATCCTTCTTCAATTCCAGCGTGGCCTTCCGAAGGACACGCATGCAACCAGGGGGGCCGGTCCTAGGTAGGCTTTTCCCAGTCTACAAAAGCAATTCTCTTCTCTGCTCCCTGCCCCAGAGGCGGGTACTAACTCAGGCGAAGACACACTTGCCTCCAACTGTGTTTCCTGGCTATGAGTAGCGCCCAAACCCCTTGACTTTTGACTCTATGGAAATGGTCATCAAGGTCTTCTTTCGGCATGCAACCTCATGAGTGACACTTTCTAGGTTTGGGCGCTGTGCCGGCGTAAGCGGCAGCGAATTATTCACCTCAGGTGATTTGCAAAGACCTCCTCCACGTCAGAAGGCTTCACCTTCGTTCATTGATCCCTTGCTAAAAGTGTATATATATATATATTACATTTAAAAACACAAAAACTGTGGGACATGCCACAGATCCCTCACACAGTCTCAAAAGTCGAAGGGTATGGGACTGAAACCATTTAGCTCCTCAGCTCCCTGAAGCGCAAGCGTATGGCTCATCTAAAAAACACTTTGGATGTGGCTTTTGTGGATCCACCCCTGCAAATATGAAAAAGAGTAGTGATTGAAAGGACCAACAGGGGGAAGAGGGGAAATCCACGTAAAAAGCGCATCCACACCGTTTTCTAGGGGCCGTGCCGGCGAGTCACGTATCGCCCGTGGCAGGGCAGGATGGCGTGGGGCTTCCAACTCTTCACGCGGCCCAGCACCGCCTCCAAAGGCGCCGCCCGCGCCATGAAGCCTCGCGGAAACCAGCGCGGCAACCGGCCGAACCAGCAGGCAAGGGGCGCTGACGTGGCCCAAGAAGCCCACTGCTGAGCACAAAGGTTTGAACTAGATTCTATTTTTTCGGTCAGGCTTGAAGTATACTACATCCCCAAAGCCACATGAACAGTCACTACATGCGCGGAGACTTGGGTGATGTTTCAAAGTTTCAACTGCACCGAGTGTGTCCTGCAAGGGACCCTGCATGGTGGACTGATGGGCCACTGGGCGGAATTCTACGGGACGCATCCGACCAAGGATAATCAAGGAACACCACGCAGGCAACAATAAACATGGAATGCTACGTCTTGCACTGCTGAATGAAACCTTTGGTGGACCTCTTACCTACCTGTCCAAGTACTTTATCAGAAGGTACGTTGACCCTTTTTAACCCACAACAGCCATCAAAGGGTACCAACAAAGTCTTTGACATAAATATCATTTTTTGCTGTCTAAAGTCATACTAAGAAAAGGCAACGGTAATAATTTATCTCAAACAGGGTGTGCGTAGCGAGCCTAGATATACTGGGGAATCCCCCCCTCCCGCTTTCATATTTGTGTGAGGATGAACCCTTAGATTCTGATCCATATTTAGCGAACTGTTGAATGCTAAAGGAGCCTCGAGGTGATTGGCCCTGAACGACAGAGGAACAGGCTCCAACAACGTGCAATGTTGCCAAAGAACAAACCAAGCAACCACTGATCCCAGGGAAATGTGGCTATTTTTTTCGTGCCACGATGCGCTTGTAGAAGGGCAGGTAGATCTTATCCATCAGAAACCTTGCAACGCGGCAATTTGCAGCAGCATTGCTGCACGGGATCCGGTGGGATCCGGCCAATGGACAAGAGGAGGCCAAGAGCAATTCCCCGAAAGAAGCCACCAGCGAAAAACTGCCGGAACGACACTTCACAGCCCTTGGCAAGGTGTTGCGCATCAACCATTCCGTTGCGGTCAACAAGTCTCGTCTTTGGGTGCTGGGGAGTCAGGAAACAAAGTGTTGCCTTCCCTTCAAAGAAAGCAGCTCCCAGGCCTGGTCATCATGGAGTGCCTTTCGATGGGAAGAATGGACCCCAGGGTAACTGATCACTGGCGTATTATTTTTTCCTCGAAATGGGTCACAAGCTGCGCATGGCAAGACGAATCAAAGCAAGGCAATCTTCTGCTCGATGCTGCTGGCTCCGCTGCAATGCAAACGACCCCATGACACAACTGCACCGTCATGCGTGATAGCAGCAAAAGCACCATCAGTGGCTTGTATCTGCCGGATGCTTGTCAGCTGATCTTGCACGTGGCTGCTGTCCCCACCATACTCTGGGTCGCCCCAAGTCACAGCTCGGCCATCGTCCCGGATGACCGCAAAAGCTCCATAGGCCGTAGCTTGGATTTGGCGAACCCCTGCCAGCTGCTCTTGCACCTGGCTGCTATCTCCACCACATTCTGCATCACCCCAAGCCACGACTAGGCCATCGTCCTTGATGGCAGCAAAAGCAGAACAAGTTGCTTGGATTTCCCTAACGCATGATAGCTGCTTGACTACCTGACTGACATCACCACCATAACTTGCATCGCCCCAAGTCACAACTCTGCCATCCTCCCGAATGGCAGCGAAAGCATATTCAGTTGCCTGGATCTGGCGGATGCCGGCCAGCTGCTCTTGTACCTCGCTGCTATCTCCGCCAGAGTTCGCATCGCCCCAAGTCACGACTGTGCCACCATTCGTGATGGCTGCAAATGCGGCAAAACTTGCTTGGATCTGGTGGACGTGTGTCAGCTGCTCTTGCACCTGGCTGCTGTCTCCACCACACGCTGGGTCGCCCCAAGTCACCACAGTGCCATCATACAGAATTGCAGCAAAAGCGCCGCACAAGGCTACTTGGATCTGTCGGACGTGTGTCAGCTCCTCTCGCACCTGGCTGCTATCTCCACCAAACTGTGGGTGGCCCCAAGACACCACCCTGCCATCGTCCCTGATGGCAGCAAAAGCATTTCTAGATGATTGGATCGCCTTGACACATGACAAGTGCTCTTGCACCTGGCTGCTGTCTCCGCCACCGGTCGCGTCGCCCCAGGTGACAACTCTACCGTCTTCCGTAGTGGCAGCAAATGCAAGTGTGGTTGCCTGGATCTGCCAGACGCCAATCAGCTGCTCCTGCACCTTGCTACTGTCTCCGCCAGACCGTGGGTCGCCCCAAGACACCACCGTGCCATCGTCTCTGATGGCAGCGAAAGCTCCGTCAGTTGCTTGGATCTGCTTGACACGTGTCTGCCGCTGCGTCTGGCCATGCATAAACCTTGGGTGGCCCCACGTGACCACACTGCTTCCCGCAACATAGGCAGCAAACGAATCAATCGTGGCACTAAGCTGGAGATGCTGCACGATGGCATCAATGCAGTCTCCGTCTCCCACGCCTGCCTCTGTCAAGGTACATTCGGGGTAGAGTGGCCGGCCATGCGCAACCAGCCGCAGGAAGCCACGCGCGAACTGCTGCTGTGATGCAGCCTTCAGCTCGGCGACCCTCGCCCCCAAAGGAAGCATCACAGAGCAACCGAGGCCGCTTGGAAGGCACACCTCCACTCTCAACATGGCACCCGTGCACATGGCTCAGTGTCGAACGCTTCAAATGCATGCTGCCTATCGCGAAACATGTTGAGCTGATAGAGGCTGACACAACCAGTGCAAGGCTTCTTAGCGCCTGGTGCCTCTCAGTTTGAGCTGATGCTAGATTCACCACATGCTCACACACTGAAGCAACCAGCGTGCTCCGAAGATTGGGCAGGGCTCTTTGTGCCGCGAAGGAGTGGCCGAGGCTCCTTTGATACTATGCTGTGCTGCTCTGAGACCTCGGCTTGGTCATGTTATGCCGGAGCCGACCGTTTGATTTTCTTACCATGGAGGGGCGGACACCATTTTGAAAATAGGGTGCAATTGCATTAACAGCTTTCACAATCACCTGAACAATGCATGATCAAATGCCTCTAATTCAAGCCAAAAGAGCCAAGCTTGAGCGGCACAGGGCGGAATGAGGATGTCAAGGGCCCAAAAGCCTTCGCATATTACTGTGTAAAAGGAAAGGAGTTGCTTTGCTTGAGCGAGAGGATGGCAACGGATCAATAAATTACTGTTAGCTAGCTGAAAGTGGCTGGAAACACCGAGGCTTGACAAATCGATGCTTGGGGTCCGGTTGGAACTCATCCACGCGAACGACCAAGATGTCCGAAGACACTGGGTACAAGAAAGGAGTGCAAACCTGTGGTGCGGACTGACACACGAATTCTTGGCAAGCTTCTGACATCATTCTGGGAGGTGGGGAGGACCGAATGTCTCTCCTCATGCGCAATGCTCTCCGAGTTGGCGTGGTGTCGACCTTGCAAGAGATGGGTTTGTAAGTTGCCCACGTGTTAAGCTGCTGAGCAGCTGTCAGTCATTTCTTCAAGCTTGCGGAGTCCGTAGTCCACACAAACGCCAAAGCCCGCCGATTTGATTCTGGGATACCCGGCTAGCCGTTCTGTTTGTTTCTGGTTCCATTCGCGTTAGGAGGGCTGCAAGGAACATGTTCTGACGTACCCATGAATGCCAAAGGCTTTTGGACATTTTGCGCGCAGTGCGAAACAAAGATCGGGGCATTGCGTTGAGCCGCGCCTTGGGCGGCTGCCTGCGGGGCACACTGCAAGGTTCCTTTAGCAGGCAGTCACGCAATTTCTGCCCGTGCCTGTTTCTCACAGAGCCCCCGCTGGCAGAGACATGATTTGAGAATGTCGAAAAGAACCTGCAAAAGAGACTTCTTAGCTCTAGGACGTGTAAACAAAGACACATGCTCCCTCGTTCTCAGAAGGGTGGCCATGGGAAAGCATCCTTGTCGCTTGACTTGAAGGAACCCTTCCCTATCAAAAAAAATGGCTGCTGGGCTGGGCAAGGGCAACTTTCAAGCAAGAGCCTTTGCCCAAACTGGGGCCATGACTCCAAATCGGCCAAGAAAGGACCAAAGGCCGACCAAAGGCCGAGTTCTGCCGAGTTCTGCCGAGTTCTGCCGAGTTCTGCCGAGTTCTGCCGAGTTCTGCCGAGTTCTGCCGAGTTCTGCCGAGTTCCGGGCTTCCACAGGGCCGACCCCTTCGGAACATCCTCCGGGTAGTTCCAGAAGATGTCCTGACAAAAAGGACTTGCCGGGTGTTTGTCTCAGAGGCTGTGTCCAGGAAAGCTCACCAAATCTCCACCACCCCCCTGTTTTTTTTTGTTGGGGGGGGGGGGGAGTATTTGGCGACTTTCCAAGATAGTTTCTTAGAGAATTCTTTTCTTGGCACTGTAAAAGGTTTTGGGTTGGGACCATCCCAGCAGACCCGGAATTACCAATGGTAATTGGTGGGAGGGTACCGAAAACCAACTTTGCAAGGGTTGGCCCATCGAATGGAATCAAGGTAGCCAACTTCCGACCGAGGTGGATCGGCAACAGCCAAAGAATCTGTTTGTTTGCTAGTGGTCCAGGCCCGAAAAAATTACTAAAGTCCAGGAATTCGGGGAGTGAGGTAGATGTTGTTTGATCGTAGGAAAGCAAAAGGAGCCAAAAGCAATGGTCTAACCTAAGCCTTGGAACAACGCCGTTGGATTTTGTGTGTTGGGTAATTACCCGCTAAAATGCATGAGGGGACCCTGGACAGGTTCCAATACACGGGTTGCTTGCACAAAAGAACGCCATGTAGTCACGAGCATTCCGTCCTGAAATTCATTGCCAGTTTGTTAGAACCCGCTCAGGGTCGCCCAAAAAAACTCCAATAGGCAACTGGGCATCGGTGCACATCATCGTGCTGCTGGGCTTGTGGTAGAAGATGACTTCGTTGAAGAAGGGGGTACCAAGGATCGGAGTTCCTTGGGTGCGCCGAGGTCGGTCGCTGGCTTGAAAATTCCGGAGCACAAGTGGCAAGCGGGAAAAGAAGACACCCTTTGGTTGATGTTCAATGTTCAAGGGAAGCCCGCCCAAAAACGGAAGGCCAACACTGGAGATTTGGGAAATAGGACATACAAGGGGAGGACCTTGTTTGCGATTCCAACCCCCTCCTCTAGTCGAATAAGATGGGAATCACGGTGGAATCCGTATGACAATGGCGAGTGCTGTGTGCAGGGTCTTGCTCATGCCTCGGCTGGCTGGACGGCATGCATGGGCCCTGGCTGGCACCGTTGTGAGCACCACATTAAGTTGGCTCCAAGACGAGCTGCGGTTTCAACTCCCCAAGCCAATCCAAACCATTATTTCAATAAGGAATCGCCAGTTGTGTGACTCAGTGAGGGACAGTCTTTCTGCAGGCCCTGCATTTCACTCAAAGGGGTCTAATCCCGCAGTGTGACCCCTGGATTCTCGCCCCGGGATGGTGTTTGCTTCTTGGCTTTTGGCGAGCGTAAGCCAACTAAAGAGCATCCGGCAATGACTTTTGGTCACTAGGTTCGACCTGGAGTCTGGAGTCTCCGGAACTCTGAAAAACGTGAGCTTCGTTTTGAGCTAAAAACAAATCCCTCGCCGAAACGGGGGCATGGAAGCTCTAGGCCAACATTCGACTCCAAAAGGGGAAACACATCTCAACTCAGAGTGCTCGTTGATGGGTGGGTGAGTGAGTGAGTGAGTGAGTGAGTGGGTGGGTGGGTGGGTGGGTGGGTGGGTGGGTGGGTGGGTGGGTGGGTGGGTGGGTGGGGTGGGTGGGGTGGGTGGGTGGGTGGGTGGGTGGGTGGGTGGGTGGGTGGGTGGGGTGGGTGACCCTTTGAAACCAAGCTGCCCGGGTCAGAACACCCTAAACAGGGATCAAAGAAGCTGTTTGGGGTACCGAAGTGAGATACCCTATACGGATGGCACAATTCCATGAATCCCCATGAACAGTTGAGTTGAGCACCGCGTTATTTGGGGTTGTTTTTTGGGGACTTCTGAATCTCCCAGGGCCCCAAAAAGATGCCTTTGTTCCATTCGACTCCAGGGAGCCAAAGGTGGTACCCCAGTTGGCCCACCCGTTCAAACACGAAAATATGGACTGGAGGTCTAGAAAACTTGGTTTCGATGTGGCGAATCTGTGGAACCAACCCTGGATATTCAGAAAAGGAGCTCTGAAAGAGCACCATGAGAAAATAATGTATATATGTATATATATATATTTATATAAGTAATTAATCCCACCAAAAGCGCAAAAATCCCACGTCGTTTTCTGGATCTTACGGGTTTCTCTTGGGTCTTCTCTCTCCGCGGCGCGCTCGCAGTCTGCAAAGCAGATCTCCATGCCCGGCCAAGGGGACTCGCCCGAGACCGGCAGCTCCTGGTCATAGGGGATCTCGGGGAACTTGGCGCGCATGCCTCGGGATGCTCCGACTGACCTTGCAGTCACCCTGCTTAAAGCCCCCCCAGGTCACCTTAGGGACACCTTGACCCCCCCCCCCCTTGACATTACAGTACCTTCAGGGCACCTTACCCCTTCAGGGCACCTTACCCCTTCAGGTCATCTAAAGGTCACCTTAAGCCCCCCCCTTAAGGTCAGCTTAAGGTCACCTTAATCACTGGGCCAGTGACCAGGCAAAGAATATTGGAAACACTTCTTGGGTTGTCACTAAACCAAAGGGAAGCCAAGTAAAAAAGGGTGGAGTTCAACAGCCTGTCCCAACAATGTTGAAAGGGGAAATTGGGGGGATTGCCTGCGAGTTTTCCGCCCCTTTGTGGGTTCCTTCCAGTAATGCTCAGATCAAGCCTGTTCACGGGATTCGAATATGCGGGGTTCAGCTTCCACCTAAGGACAATCATGGGTGAAGCAACCTGGAAGCCATTTGTTACCTATAACCCAAATTAACATCTCGCTCCCCCTACCCTTTTGGTTTCCCTATAAGCCACCCTTCCAAGGGGCCCTTAAGAACAAAACACACCCATTCACGCATTTATGTCCAGGTTCCCAAGGCTTCTATGGGTGCTGCTTGAGAAGGGGAGACTCGAAAGGAGCTCAACAGCTTGATGTGAGGCAACTTCCGCTCCGCGAAGGGAAGTACTTGACCGTGTAAGCTGGGGCATTGACGAGGAAAGGACCAGGTGCACCGTGACTTGGTGCGAAAAGCGGACCGAACTGTGAAGCGAAGCGAGCGAAAAGAGTGGAAAAGAGCGCGGACCAAGGGGTCGAATGGGGGGAGGGGGCCGATATTTCATTGGTTTTGCGGCCGGGCTGACCCCAGAACCCCTCAGTCTAGCCTTGCTAACGCAGTGCTTACGTTTCCGGCTTAGGTTCCAAAAGGAACCGCCCTTAAGACAACGCCCGCCGCCCGCCTTCACTAGCATCAATGGCTTCCGTTGCAAAACGACTCCAAGGGCAAACACAAGTGGCTGCCGGATCTGCATGACTTTGAATGTACCGAAGGCACCCTCCCCGTTGAACTCTCCAGACGGTGCCAGTCCCCAGGAAAGGATGTTACAAGCCAAGTGGACGCAGGGCCTGGCCCACATCTGAGGTACACAACAAACAAATCATCAGTTTGTCGAGGTCCACCCTGAAACATGACATGCTGTAGATGGCCGAAATCCTGCACCGCGTGGAAACCATGGTTGAAACAACATGTTTTTATCATTGGAGTTCACGTTGGAGAATCGAATCAGAAACCAGGGTTCTGAACGGTGGTGCCTAGGATTTCGCATCCATCCCATATGGACGGGACATCTCGGGGTTGAACCCAGATCTCGCTCCGAGCGCTGGGCCGGGAGTGCCCCAAAGCACAGCCTCCGGAAAGGCCTGCAAGTCCACCGAAATAGCCCACGTGGCTTGGACCCTCAGACTAAGCCATAGTGAGAAGTCCCCCTTGAAGTAAACATGGCTTGCCAGGTTGCCCCAAAGTTTTTATGTTTTCCCTGAAGGGTCGTTTGAGGGTCCAGGCGTGGATCTGTTTCTCAGGATGACCGTTTCACCTTGCTAAGAGGAAACCAACAGCCAGCATTGTTTGTGTTTGTTTGTTTGTTTGCTTGCTTGCTTGTTTGTTCGTGTTTGCGTGGGTGCTTGTGTTTGTGTGTGTGGGTGGGCGCGTGCGTCCGTGCTTGCACGGGTGCGTGCGGTTTGTCGCATTGCGTGTACTGTTTTGTGAATATGTTTGGGCGGAACTTGGACACAAGAGGAGCGCATGGGCTGTGAGCTTCTCATCGCCAATCTCATTGGAAGCGGTTCAATCCAAGGACACCAAGCCCAGGAACCTTAGCATGTTAGGGGCAAACAGGCTGTTCGAACCCGAAACCTGTTTTTGCGTTGCCTTCATTTTGTGTTTGTTTGGTGCTTGTTATGCTCTCTGGTTGTCCGTGTGTGCTCTCTTGTGCTGCGTTGCGCTGTGCTGCGTTGCGCTGTGTGGTGTGGCGTTGTGTGGCGCTGTGGGGTGTGAGGTGTGAATTGTGTGTGTGCGCTGTTGTATGGCTGTCGTGGCGCTGGTGGCAAGGCGGGGGCGGTGGTATTTTGTTGGGCGTCGACGCCGCCACCGCACCCGCAACCAAGCAAGCTAGTTTTCAAGGAAATCAAATCCCCACCGCAGGAACCTTCTCAAAGCAATTTTCACCTAAGAGCTCGGATCAAACCTTTCTCGGGTGTAGGTGTTAAGAAATACATATATATATATATATATGTGTGTGCCAGCGAATGTCCCTCCGTATGGCCATCCAAGTCTCATGGGGCAAACTGACAACTTGGAGAACCGCTTCCCACGCATGAGATCCCGGCTCTCCCCTCGCTCTGCTTTCCGAAACCCAGTGCACAACAAGCAGACGTCCTCTAGGGTTGAAATGTGAAACCGCAAAATGGGCAGTTGCTCTTTGGTCCCCCCAAGCCAAGCCAAAGAATCTGGTACCCTCACACAAACGGTGCCCGGCTCCTCTTTCCACGGCTTGGCCCACTTCACGTGCTCAAAGTTGGGGGAGACGATGTGTCGCACGGGGCCCAGCTGCGACAGGGCAAGCCTGTCAGCCAAAAAAGAATACTCGTTTAAACGACTCGTTTACCCAGAAGTCCTGGAAATAAAACGGTTAATTGTTGTGGAACCCGAACTCCGAACAGAAAAATTGACCAAAAGAGGAAAACGAGAGGGGGATTTGGGCAAGCAAGCACATCCTGGGCAAAACCGCTTGCAAATCCTTTCACCTTTTGGAGGTCGGAACCTGCCCAGTTGCAACCAGCGACCCACCAACCGGCATCGCTTAAGCTGCGTTCGCAGCATGAAAGGATGCTGTCTACTAAACCGGCTACTGCAAAATACAGGGAAACTTTCTGCGGGGTGTCACTGGCTGGTTCTTAGGATTCCTTCTCCACAGAGAGCGGTCAAAAGAGGCGAAGTGAGTGATTCCCTTGGCTGTAGTTCCGCTACTGCAAAAAAGCAAGTGTTGGAAAAACACCTCCAGTGTGAAAGTAGATGGCGCAGTCCGTTCTGTGGGTAAGCTACGCGGATAACTAAGACAACATTGGGCCCATTTTTTTTGTTTCCCATCTTTGTTTGTTTCACACCAAAAATGGTCTTCCCAAAAAAGTTTCAAGCCCGAGAACTCGGGGGGTGAGGATCCCTATGGCATTCTGGCCTATGGCGGATCCCTCCCCGTCCCGAGCCAACAAGCCTCAAAGGCGCATCCAGCTGCACAGGCGAGTGCACCCACAAACTTCCGTCATCCAGGCGCACCACTGCCATCTTGCCACCCACCTGGCGTGGGCGGGTTCGACGGTTCCACCGACCCCCGAACATCACCTCTTCTGCCAATTTGAAGTCACGTTCCTTGGGGTGGAGTGATGTTTTCGGACATGAAATGTACAGTAGGGAGCCCTGAAAAAACAAATCTTGGCCCACATCTGCGGTACACCCAAGATAATGCGTGTTTTTGGATCATATTGTAGTTAGCAAATCCGGAGATATCGGAGGATGCTCCAGCAAACAAGGGTAAATGAGGGAACTCGTGTAAGCCCATGTTCGTTTAAAAATACAGATTTGGCAGCCTGAGAAAACCAAGGGAGCAATTGCAGAACGCCTCTTGGAAGCGACCGCTTTGTAATGCCATAAGCAAGGCCGCCCTCGTGTGACTTCATTTCGGGGACATTGCTTGCGCTGGTCAAGTTTTATTTTATGTGTATTTAGAACTCAACAGAAGACTAGTTTCCAAGAACCAGCTGCCATGGACACCTTGTGCTTAAAAAAGAAATGGTTCGAACATGAGAGTTTGCCTCCCACTGTGATACTAGGAACCTCCCTTGCAAATGATGAAGTGCTGTGGATGAACAAAACCCCTTTCGCACCACCTAAGAAACCTTGGAATGATGATTCCCTGGTAAACACCAACAAATAATGGTTTCCCATGGATTCAAAGTGGTGCAAATTTCGTCCATCCACAGTATGATTTCGTCACTTGGCAGGCCTTCAAGCGGATTTTCACCCAAGTGTAACTTGCTCAGCGTGGTCCGCCTTTTTGCTTGAGTTTCAGGCAAAACCGTCCCTTAACCGACCAGAGGATGAATCATCTCAGCAAGCGGCTTGAAGAGAGACTCTCTGGCCTTGTTAGGTTTGAAGGTGCTCAAATCGCCTCATTGGGATGTCGCCGAAACATGAACAGCCAAGGACAAATAGGGAAACCCGCATGTCGCCCTGTCTCAACACCGCCTAAAAGCAAGCTGGCCAACAGAGTGGCACCAGGTGGAACTCAGTGAGGCAAACCCATACCCAAGACGAGTCGACTACCCCCAAGCCACTACCCCCAAGCTTCTCTTCTAAAATTATATTTTGGTATCGCGGCCAAATATGAATCAGAATTAGAACACATATTCGCTGCGTACCCCAGATGTGTGTGTGTGTGCCCCAAAAGAAAGGGCGCAGTACTGTCGATCTTTCAAGACAGCAAATTCAACACTGAGTTGCAGGACTGTGTATCTTGGTTTTGCCGTAGGCCTGATCGACTTTTAGTATTGGCAAATTTGAGCTTCCACACAGCCCAACAAGCTGACAAAGAAAGAGCCATGAGTGTGGCTGTGTCTTAGGGAAAGCCTCGGGTGCTCCTGTAGGACTCATTGAACATAAGGCAGTTAGGCAGAAACCTTTCCATCCCCTGTTGGATAATGGGCTGCTTCGCACCCAAAGGCAAGCGTCCTGACTGACCGGGCCCTTGTTCGACTTGTTCTTGGCCTCTAGCTTGGCATTCTCGACATGAAAACTTGGCTTTGGGCCCAGGCAGCTATCCGGTTCAATATCAAAACGACCTTCTAACTCCTGACTGGTCTGACTCAACCCTCCCCCCGCCAACAAAAAACACAATCAGTTGTTTGACGGGGCCAATCCCCCGCCCCCGAGCGCCACCCTAGTTTGTGACTGCGCATGGGCGTTTCTTAAAATAGGAATTGGTCAGCTAAAATGACTGGTTTCTTTTGGCTTTTTAAAATACCAACCGACCACAAGCCCGACCCCCCCACCCTCCCACCCAAAAAATAAACACAAATAATGGCCAAGCGGCATCGATGGAGTTCCAAATGAACGGCCTCTCAGCCACGAAGAGGTCTTCATCCAGCTGACGTAGCACCGCTCCGGACGGATTGCTCCAGGTGGACGGGTACACCTGGCTGGAGCGACGCCCGGTAAGGCTGTGACAATCATTCTTATTAACACATGGAATTTCACGTGTGACCGACCCATTTCCTAGGAAATCCCTAAATGTGTGCTAACTGTTCCTATTGGATGGGTATGTTACATGAAGAGAGTTACAATCAGTTGGCACACCCATCCAATAGGTACAATTGGACAACATACGGTTTCACAGGGTCGGCCACATGTGGGATTCCATGTGCTAACGGATTGTTACTCACAATGAAATTCCGGAAAATGCGTTTTGAGAGCCGACGTAATTCGAAAAAAGGTTGTTGAGCACATACGAACCTTAGTGAGTTCAGTCCAGCAGCTCAGGTCCCCCCCCCAGCATCCCCAGCTATTCAGGCACCCCCTGGGTGCGTAATATGGTGTATGCATACATATGTTTTAAACATCCCAGTGTCACACGCGGCTTCCTTTTGGGAGAAGCACACACTTTGAAGGGGAGTTGCGGGGGGGGGGGGGGTTCCGGGGGCAAAAAAGAAATAAAAAGAATACAAAGAACAAAACCGAAATAATTTTCTAAATTTGGATATTTATTTTTTTAGTCCCTCCCCCCCCCCCCGCAAGCTAGCATGTCCAGGATTTTGGGTCGCCTTTAGCTTCTGCTCTCCCTACCAGCTCTTGGAGTTGTAGGCTGTCCTGTTGTTTACACAACGATTCATTTGATTCTCTTGCTTAGGTCTGGACATGCATGATAGGTCACTACGTTTACAAATTGAGATGTGCATCTTAACAACTGGTGCGCTTAGTTAGTGTTTGTGGTTTGAACAATAGCATGAGTAGCACCATATGACAAGCCTCTGGTACTACTGGTGGTGCAAGCTTGGAAGTGGTTGCTACAAGCCGTGTTAGGCACAATATTCCCTGCAACTGGAACCCACACTGATTGCTTCTATGCTTTCACCTTTCATGTAGCCAGCGTGTGGCAAGAATGGGCTTGGTTGCACTGGGGCTATGGTTCCAGAAAGTATGCACTTTGCGTGTGGGCCGATTTGCGTCCAGTAGGCTCACCCTTGTGCATCACACTCTCCATTACGATTCAATAGGGTAGAATAGGATAGAACATGTTTCCGTAAGTGGCTTTGGGCCAAAATGCAGCAGTGTCATCAGGCTGCCAGTTTGCTATTGGTTAACATGGAGAGTTTAGAATGCACCAGAAATGGAGTGAAACATGTGCGTTTCATCAAAATGCTCCATTGTAGCGCAGGCATTGCTCTGTTCCATTGCTTGTTACGGTTTTTTTGCGGCTGACCATAAGAGATCTGCTTATCAGAAATTGTTTGATGACGTGTGGAGGGTGCAAGATAAACCATTCTCTTACCCCCTCCCATATCATTTGTTGTGTGAGACTAGTTACCATAGGCTAGTACTTCATATGTGCAACAGATATCAGGACATGTGAAGGTGAGGCAGGCCAACTCCAAGCGGGCAGCCGCCCGTTGGGTGCTACCAGCTTTCTTGTGAAAGCCCTCTCTCCCATGCAAACTGTTGCGCGCAAAAGATGCTATAGCAGGTGAGAAAAATTGTCCAACTTGCCGGAGGGGGCTGTCATCTTTGTGAGCGGCTTGCTTTTCCCTTTGGCTACAATGCAGCAAGTAACGTCAGGAAGCAACTATGAAATACACCTGGGGCGCCTTGTCAGATCATTGTTTGGTGGAAGCCCTCCCTTTACTTTCTTGTGAATGAAAGGCACTGCTTTCCTCGGGAACTGAACTTTTCCATTGGCCATGGGTGGCCCTTGTCAGATCCTTTTTTGCTGGAAGCCGCATCTTGTACTTCCACTTTGCATGACTGAAGCTCGCAAGGGGTTGGTGGAAAAAGTCATGAGCTTTCCTTACTTCCTTGTGAATGAAATGCCCTCGCCATACAGATTACTGTTGTGGCAAGTGGATGAGGAGATGTGGCGGCACACACTTGTGCTTTCTACATCGCCAGGGATGGGTCCTCCACCTTTGCAAGCTGGTGGCACGCAATGGCTGATATGACTGGAGGTAAGAGATCTCCTACTTGCACCATCCAAAATACATTTCCGCTAGGTAGATCTCCTATGGTCAACCCAGGCAAGCCTTACACCATATGTTCATAGAACAACAATGGAACACTGACGCGCTCTAAGCTAAATGCAAAACATTGTTTCACTGAAAAGCGCAGACCTCCACAGCGTCCCACACAAGCCAACAATTGTCATTTGACACTAACATACTCTTCCTAGAAAGTCGCCCTCGTGCGATCTTCTGAAATACACTGGTCTTAGTTGAAACGAGTCTGCTTGTTCGGGCGATTGCTTCGGGGACGTTGCAGGCAATGACAATCTCCAAGTCCAGAGAACATGGGCCCTCACCGCATATGACCTTTCCAATCAAAATGTGCTTTTATCTGTCCCGGGAAAACTCGTGAATCCCCCCTTGTCTCCCAAAATTGACCATGTCCAAAGTTTGAAGTTCTGGAACGAGGCATGCCATCTTTCGGGGCTCAACTACCCCAGCTTTTATAAACCCATGCTGCGGACCACTTTAAGTACTCCTACAAACTGGTAGCATGATGCGATTTGACGGCCAACTGGAAACCAAAACAGCGGCAGTCTTCACAACCTTGAAGAATTGGGTCAGCTACGGAAAATCAGGGTCAGCTACCGAAAATACGGGGTAACCCCTTTTTCCCGAAAGCATGGCGAAGGGTTCTTCCACTGGGTTCACTTGAATTGTTCTCATGAGAGTCATTACAAGGTGTCATTGCAAGGAATCATCATCATGAAAGTCAATGCAAGGAGTCATTGCAAGGAGTCATTGCAAGGAGTCATTGCAAGGAGTCATTGCAAGGAGTCATTGCAAGGAGTCATTGCAAGGAGTCATTGCAAGGAGTCATTGCAAGGAGTCATTGCAAGGAGTCATTGCAAGGAGTCATGGCTGCAACTTGCACTTGACTCCTTGCACTTGCAACTTGACTCCATGCACTTGCAACTTGCACTTGACTCCATGCACTTGGCTCCTTGCACTTGGCTCCTTGCACTTGGCTCCTTGCACTTGCTTGCATTGCAACTTGCAACACTCCGTGCACTTGCGACTTGCACTTGACTCCATGCACTTGGCTCCTTGCAACTTGCAATGCTCTCATGACTCCTTGCAATGACTCCTTGCAATGACTCCTTGCAATGACTCCTTGCAATGACTCCTTGCAATGACTCCTTGCCTTGCCATGACTCCTTGCAATGACCTTGCAATGACTCCTTGCAATGACTCCTTGCAATGACTCCTTGAAACAAGCAAGGAGTCAAGTGCAAGTTGCAAGTGCAAGGAGTCAAGTGCAATTGACTTGCGAGGAGTTAAAATCTCTTCTTAGGGCGGCGGGGTAGTGCCGACGACACTACACGAAAATCGACCCTCTGCGGGGATCGGCGTGGTCGAGGTGCAAAAACCCATGGTTTTTTGCGATTTCTAAAGTTCCCGCGCGACCCTCTGCGGGGATCGGCGTGGTCGAGGTGCAAAAACCCATGGTTTTTTTGCGATTTCTAACCTGCTCGCGCGACCCTCTGCGGGGATCGGCGTGGTCGAGGTGCAAAAACCCATGGTTTTTTGCGATTTCTGCGGTGCTCGCGCGACCCTCTGCGGGGATCGGCGTGGTCGAGGTGCAAAAACCCATGGTTTTTTGCGACTCTGCATGGTTTTTTTGCGATTTCTGCGGTGCTCGCGCAACCCTCTGCGGGAATCGGCGTGGTAGGTGCAAAAACTCAAGGTTTTTTGCGACTTTTGTTGTTCGAACTGGTCCTCGTGGTTCGCGCGCCTGCTCCCGGAACCGGCGGGTCGCGGGTTCGATTCCTCCCTGGTCCGCGGGCGGGCGTCGCAAGATGCAACTTGCATTTTACAGCAACTTGCGCAGAGCAACTTGCGCAGAGCAAGTTGCACAGAGCAACTTGCGCAGACCAACTTGCACCGACCAGTTTGCGCAGAGCGCCTTGCCTAGAGCAACTTGCGCAGAGCAACTTACGCAGAGCAACTTGCACAGAGCAACTTGCACAGAGCAGCTTGCACAGAGCAACTTGCAGGGAGCGCAATTTGCACAGAGCAACTTGCAGGGACCAACTTGCCGGAGCAACTTGCGCGGAGCAACTTGCGCAGAGCAACTTGCACAGTGCAACTTGCGTAGAGCAACTTGCGCAGACCAACTTGCACCGACCAGTTTGCGCAGAGCACCTTGCCTGGTGCTGTCTCGCGCTTGCTTCACGAAGTGTAGGGAAAAAGAACGCATCCTGCAGCGTTGGGCCGACCTCGCTTGCGATGTTCTGCTTTCGGGCCAACCGTGGTCTAGTTTAAGGGTCAACCCCCCCCCCCTCCCCGCCCGCCGCCAGCGCCTTCTCGAATTCTTGCAGTTCTTTCAACCGACCTATCAAGGAATCGGGGCTGGCTGGTGACTACTTGCTGGGCTGTCCTCAGATCCCCGGAAGTTTAACTTTCACTGGTTTAAGGAAACTGCCGCAAAATCCCGAAAAGCTAAAATCCTGAGGGGGCGGCTGGGAAGCACCAAGACTGGTGGTTTGATTGCAGGTTCGGCCGTACAGTTAGAAGCAAGCTAGTTGGAGCAGGCTCTAGAACCCAGGAAAAATGGAAGCCTCGCGCCAAGTTGCCAAAGGGTGTGACTGGCGTGGAATATCAGCCATCTCCAATTCTCCCCCGGTCCGACAAATGATTGCCGAATCCGATTCATTACAACAGACGGGCATTAAAAGCGGTCTACCAAAAACTAACGCATAATTTATAGGGTCTTGCCGCGCTGATTAGCCCTTGCTAACTTTCACTTACCCAGGTTTCGATTGCGGCTCTAGGACAACTACCATTCACACACCATCTCAAAAATCCCTATCATCTCCTATCAATTCGTCGGCAACATACTACCAGAAGCCCCAAGAAAGGGACCTCTCGATTTAGATGTCGGTGAGCTCAGAGGTCTCTGCGCTTTGTCGCCTGTTTGTGTGCGGGTACTGGTAGCCTCCATTCGAGGCCCCTCGGGTAACAAGTGCCCTGCCCCGGAATAACATGGAAGCTCCCGAACAGACCCCGTTGGAAGACTTGCCTTCTGGGAGGCTTCCATGCTAGTTAGTTTGAGGAGTGGATGTATGTTCCAGTCATAGATTACCAAGGAACAACGGAAAGTCAGGTTGGCGCAAATCAGCCAAGGCAGGAGCCTTGTTTTGCCGACAACTTGCTTTCCAGCCTTCACGCTCCTTGACGTCGGCCAGCGCAAAACCTGGCACAGTGCACGTCCGACACTCAGGTGTCCCGGCATCTGGCTGAGCGGGGCCCTGAGCAAATCATGTAACCTTCTGCGGGTTCACTGACTACATGCACTCGTTATCTCAACATCTTACAATAACTCCAACACCTGAAATAAGGCCATGACATATGCAGAACCAAACTTGGCCAACCATCAATGTCCCTTGAATTTTGCGCCCATCCAACTGGCACCGGGCCTGGTGGCATCACTTCAAAAGCAGGGTGGGTGGCCCCAAGTTTAACACGTTCGCGCAAAATCTCCCCTTTTGCAACCCATGTGGAAACTAAACATGACTTTGCTGGGCCTGTTAAACACCACGCGTCAACCCCCCCCCCCCCAAAAAAAAAAAGGAAGGAAGGAAGGAAGGAAGGAAGGAAAGAACGAAAGAAAGAAAGAAAGAAAGAAAGAAAGAAAGAAAGAAACACAAAACAACCAGTGGTCCAACGCCTACTTTCCTCCCACTCTAATAGAATGAAAACATAGAGCCCGTGTTGTCACGAACCACGTTTGTGAGGAGCCCCTTTTTATTTGATGGCGCTACACGTCTAGTTCGGGGGGAGAAAAATCTGCACATGGGAAAATCGCTAGCTTGCTGTCCGCTTGTCAGTGCGACAGTGGTCGGTCCTTGCCCCGTTGAAAATTTGTCTGAATCTGAGGACAACAACCTGCAAATGCTGCTAGAATTCCAAGAGCTGAATTAAGGGATGCCCAAGTAAGGAACCTTTATCATGGTGAGCTCGTTAGACCCCAGCTAGGCTCAACATGTGGCTCATCCACACGAATTATGTGATTTGTGTGGAACTTCCTTCAAGAAGGCAGGGGACAAACCATGATTTCAAAATGTCCGCGCTTCATCCTCTGTCCAGGATGCACTGTCACTGACCTTGTATCGGAACTCCCTAAGAGGTATGGAAATCAGAGGTTCGCTCTTTGGAACATTGGCTAAAAAGAAATTATTGTGGATGGACAAAATCTTGCACCAGTTGGAAAGTGCTTTTCTCTAGGGCTTCATCCCTCCCAATTGATGCGACTACCCAGGTCTTGATTGCGACCACTTCAGGACACCTTGTTCAGTCCCCTATGGGGGGTTTCCTTTGGCCCTCCTTTAAACACAGACTGAAGTCTTCACTCCATCTCCAACTGCCAAACACGAAGCCCTCGCTCCGGACCCCGGCCTCTTCGGGCCACGCCCCGAAAAGCCCCCAGCGCGACGCCGAGGCTCGCTGAGAGCCACGGATTGCGCGGAGTCTGCCTCCGCATCGCCAGTTTGGCATGCTTCACAAACAGTTAAATTGCTCTCCCACCAAATTCACGTGGAACCTGACAGGGGGTCCCTTTAAAGGGAAAAGTGTCTTCCACGCCCCCAGTGCAAGGTTCCATGTTCATTCGTGGGAGGGTATCTTGTTCTATGTTTCTGCCTTCATTTCCCTGCTGGCAAGTTTGGCCAACCGCATGTTATGTGCATATCTGAAATCAGACCACGAAAACCGACGGGGGCCTACTCAAAACAATACCCTGACATATACCATTGGTTGTGGATGTGTTCTGTTGAAGCTTGATCACTTCTTTTGGGTTGTGCCAAAGGGAAAGCAAAGAGTGTTGGAGCTGCTCCCCTTTTTTGGAAGAAACCCACTATAGATGATCAACCAACATGAGATAGATATGTGTTTGCAAAGATATTCCTGAAAGGATGGTAGGGTGAACAATTCACCGCCTCCTTGGGGCACGGTGGTTTGAAGCTGGACCAGAGCGTTTCCGCGTCAGCCTCTTCCGGCAGTCTTCCTGCAATCTTCCTGTGGTCTTACCATAGTGTTCTGGCAGCCTTCTGAAAGTGACTCTCAACATCAGCCTTTGGCATGGCAGCGCCGTGAAAGCACAACACACACACACACTGTAACCACAAAGTTGCTTCGCAAAGCGGCTTCACCTGTGTCGAGTGTTACCGGGCTAAGCAAAAAGGCTTCGTGGGGCTTCGCAGAACACAATGTATCACACAAGTGCATTCGTGAACCTTTCAAAAGTCCCCCTGAAGCTAGCATCCGTGTCAACTTTTGAAATCGGCTGAACCTTCTCGAATAAGTTACTCACCTGCAATTTAACATGGGAACAAGCTCCTATTAGGGACCTCTCCCCCATGAGTTGGGGGGTGCAGATGCAAGGAAGCAACGAGCCACACAAACCACTACGTGTTCCCTGCCCAGTGGCCCTGGTAGTACTCAGTTGCGCAAATGACCCCGAAATGAAAAGGTGATCACCTTTTGGGGATATGATTAAACATGGACTCAAACGAGGAAACCAAAAAGTCAAATTAATAGGTTTTGGGCAAGTGAGAGAAAGAAGGAACCCTTTCTGGAGTTCATCATTTCTGGTGGGCAACCCCAGAAGCAACTGAACCCGCAAAATATGGGCATACGCTGCACGGCGGCTTACCAACCAGGTGGACCAGGGTATCCGGAACGTCCAACAAATACAACGCAGGCGCCCCTTGCTTCGCTCGCATGCAAACAGCCTACCCGAGTAACTTCGGAGGCTATAATGCTTCTCACTTGTTCACTGAAAAAAGGCAAGGGGGTGATGAATGTTTCTTGTACTTGTTCAGCCTGAAAGCTATCATCGAGGATTTCGGCACAGCTTCTTCCAAAGATCTTGGCGCAATCTTCGGCGGACCGGCTCTTGCACAAAAAGAGACCAAACAACGACCAATGTCACAGGTGCAGGCTTGTTCCATGGTGCGGCAGAAACCGGCAAAATGCAGCCCTTGTGCAAAACAACAAGACGTAAAGCATCATCATCAAGGCATCGACCACGCGAAGATTCCAAAACAGGACCTAACCCCTCCAAGTGCTGGTTGTCCCCTTTGGTTCCCTTCAAAAACCACCACAAGGGGTAGCCTTAACAAGACACAACTCACAAAGTCCCCACGCGCCTGCCCCATTTCGCGGAAAATCCTTGCGCCGGTTGCGCGAAGGACACTGAGGGCCACAAGGGCGGCCTGAAGGGCGCAGGCGGCAGCTCCATGGCGTCGGGTCGGGATGACTTCGAAAAATCCGACGTCAATGGCCCTCTCGCATGGTCTTTGAAGCTATCCGCGATACCATGTCCGCCGAGCATGTGGACACTAAAAGGCTGCGTGCGGCTCGGCTCATGCACATACGCAGGTATGTGCCGAAATGGGGGGAGCCGCAACATGGGTGGGTTCCATCCTAACAGCAAACCTGAGGTACCCTCCAAAACAGACTCGCATGGTGAACAAATGCATGTGCTAAAACCAAATAATCCTAGCACAAGCCAAGCAGTTGCTCTTCGCACTTGCCTGCAAGAAATGATCCTGAGCTTCCAACACTGTGCCGTCCAACACTTGACTCACGCCTGGTTTGAACTGGCCATGAGCCCGCTGTCTAGCTTTGCATGAATCACGCAAGCAAACACACAATCTGATTCTACCAAGTTCAAACATCTCAAATATCGGATTCGCAAGCAAACACACAATCTGATTCTATCAAGTTCAAACTTCTCAAATATCGGATTCGCAAACAAACACCATAGTGAGCTGCTTGGTCTTTCCAGGTGCCGCAAAAGGCAAGACATAGTATGGCTTCATCTTCGACAATTTGGACCATGACCCCAAAGGTAACTCAGTTCAAAATGGCAACCAAAAGGTGATGGGATCTGGTTGTTCTGTGGGCTTCCCTTGAAACCAATGAAGGGTCCTCAAAAAAGGCACCCCCATACATAAGGGCCCCTGAAATCCACCAGCCTCCACCAGAGAGGCCCAGGCAATGCGACCACACCTCGCCAAAGCTTTGGCCCAGATCGCTATTCGGATGGAGGAAGTCACATGTGATCCACACGTTCTTGCGCCGCATCGAACCTGGCACAAAAATAGCCGTCTCCCTTCAATTGTGCTCTCAAAGTATGTGCGCTGCGAATGGCAAGTCTCTTACTGTGTTTGCAGCATTGTCGGTCGTACTGCCTAAAAGCACTCCGATCTCGGCTCGAGCCTCCCTTCGTTTGCCGAGGGTGTTCGGCGATTTGTGCACTACAGCCTGAATGTCCTACGTACATGATGCTTTCATGGTCATGACTTGAAGTGTTTTCTGTTTTTTTTTAGTACTTCACAACTTCACTTCTAATTGATGGTCCAGGCCGTCCAGGCACTTGAAGCACTATTTGGGTCTTAACAGATTCAGCGCCAGGGCTCAAGGACTCGCAGAGTCCAACACAGCCAGGTTTCACATGCGGCCTCGCAGCGGAGCTCGTCTGGCACCCCTTGGCGCACCAGCAAAGGAAGGGCCTGCCGACGTAAGCCCTGGAACCGATGGAAGTTCCGCTCATTTGGCCATGGGCCAAAAGCCTCCTCCCCCAGTGAACATCCCAATCCCCACTAAAGTAAACTGAGAATTGGTGGTGCACCTATCCCAAAATGGGATCCCATTGGTTTTGACCCACGGCCATTTATCAACATGGATGGCAAATATGTTCAAATACCTGGCATTGCCTATTTGCCCGAACCCCTGGGCTTTTGGTGAGGATTACATAGGCCTGACCTGCTACAACCACAAGCCCGGGTAGAGCACATGGGGGTTGGTTGTCACGTTTCAGCAGAGGCCGCTGCGGGGGCGTGAGCTCAAGACCCCAACAATTCAAAGCTGCAAAGACCGAGGCCACGTGCAAAGATACCCGCCCCCCCCCCCCACACAAATCCCAAAGCAGATATATCTGACATATCAATTCAAAGTTGGAGAAGTGTAGAAATTTGGTTTTGAGCACGTTTGTCCGCCTCCTTGTCGCGGTCTTGAAAGGAATTGCCGGCCTTGGGATCTCTAAGCCGGGGGTTCCTCGCGCAGTACCTGACAAAAGCCGAGTGCGGCATTCCCGCTAAAAAGGCGGCACAAGGCGATGCGCCTCGCCATATTCTTGACAACCCTCTCAAAAGTTCAACCGCTGTCTCCGAAAGAAACACAGGGCCAAAAGAGTGTCCACAGGCAGGTGTTGCTTTTCAAAAAGAGCCCCTGATTGCCCAAAACCCCCTCCTGATTCGGGCCAGTCTCAAAGACGTGAGTTCTCACTTGTAAGGACCTGAAAAAACAAAAACAAAATGGGACCAAGTTGGAGAACCAAAAGGTCTAACCACTTGACTTGGGTGTGGCTCTTGAAACCAGGGCTGTGAAAAAGGTAACCCGCTTTCGAAATTGACAAAGTGAAAGCAGGTCATTTTTTTATCCACGCCGGCCTTTTGACCTTCGAAGCTCTTTACACGTAGCCAATGTTCAGAGACTCAAAACAGATACCCTTCCACCAAATCAAATGGAACCAGACAGGGGGTCCCTTTAAACAGAAAATGGTCCAAACCAGGACCCCTGACAGGCTTCATGTTAATTGGCGGGAGGGCAATTAACCTTTCATTTCCAAGACCCTTGGGCACATCAGTGGAGTGGTTTATATAACCAATACTTATGGTTGCGAAATCCGTTAAAACCACCTAAGAAAACATGGTTAAAACCATGGTTTCTTGGTATTTACAAGGAGGTCAACAGATACCAGGCTTTCTGAACAGTGGTGCGAATAGATTTGGTCCATCCACAGTATGACATCGTATTGGCCTGGCGGCACCTTAAACATTGTGATGATTGCTGGGCACCCAGTTCAAGCTGCTAGCTTGGTCAGGCTCGTGCACGCACATGGCATATCGTTGTTTCCTTCGATGATGGCAGGGTTCTGGGAATGATTGGCCTCCGTTTGAGCATATGTCAAAATAGGGGACCCCAAAAAACGGTTGCTTTCCTATTGGCTGTCCTTTTGAAACACTTGAAAGCTGCCAGCAAGCCTTCCTTTTGTCAGTGGGGAGCTAGGTCATTGGGAAGGCCGTTTCCCAGTCTCGCGCATCACAGTTCCCGCCCTGATGCATTTAGTTTGGCCTTATGATTAAAATAAAAAGGTCATGGCTGCCGAGCCGCCGATTGATTGGCAAATACCCCAACTGAGCTTGTTCATAATTTTCACAGGCAGCTACCAGCTGGACCTACCGGTCAAAACATGACCGCGCCAGGAATCTTTGAATTCCAGTGTCTCTGGCTCATGTCAGGTCACACTCTGTGCAAAAGTTTTTCACATTTTGGCTTGCCAGTGCGGAAAACACACATGTTGCCCACAAGTTTAAGGTGAAAACTCCCACAAAAAATCAGCCAAGTGACAACCTCCATTGGAAACACAATGTAAAGTAGTGATTGCTTTCCTTTAAAACCGACAGGGGACAACAACACCATGTTCTTAAGCAAGTGGAAGGCAGGTCCTCATGTGCTTGGGCATTAGGGCGGAACACTGCCCGCCTCTGCCACCCGCTGGCGAAGTCCTGACGCGTCACACTCTTCAACAATGCCTGCAACCACCCATGGTCTAGAAAGTAGAAATTGTGGATGTTTACAACCTGAACTTAGACATTCCCAAATACGGGATCACGGGATCTACATCAGATGAGCTTTCTGGCCCAGATCACCGTGAATCAGGCATACACGTGGCATGCAAAGAAAAACACATACACACACACACACACAGAATCCCAGGACCATGTCCAAACATGGCACCATGACCAAGGAGACTGGCCTTACATGACAGCTGCTGCCTGAGCTGTGACGGGTCAACCTGTGGGATTTGCCAAGGTCGAACGCTTCCCACCGAACACTTACTTTGTGCAAAACATATCGGTGCGTAAGCTTCAGTTGCATGTGGGTTGACGTCACATCAAATCTTTCGAACTCTGCGCTGGACACATCTGCCAAAGCCAAGGCGGACTAGCAGTCTAGACTTTCCAGGTCCGCGTCCGTGATATCCACTGGCTATGCCCGAAGGACACTTGGTTGGTGCCGAAGCCATGTTGCAGCCCATCTCGTCCAAGCGCAACACCAATATGCTGCCATAACATACCAGGAAGGGTGCATGCAGGATCTCTAAGGCCATATTCACGATGATGCCAAGGGTACCGAAAAGTCTGCAAATACAACAATTCCACAACCTGAATAAGAACCGGATCTGCAAGAACAAGACCTTCATGGGTTTTCGCTCGTTTTCCTCTCCCAAACGCCGCCCTGGCCTCTTGGGGACCTTCCGGCGCAGCTTTGGGCGCCTCGAGGCATGTCTCATGGTTACCAAAAACCCCCTCCTCGCACTCACACACACATACATATATGCAAGCACGCAATCTGTAGTATAACTCTATACATTCTGCACTATGCAAATGCATATTGAAACATTGGCATGGATGTATGCTTCCATATTTGCAAGCATTCATGATTTGCCCAACCGGACTGGACCAGAACCCCGAACATGTGCTCAACTTATTCCTTACCTAGAGTTGAACGGAATCCGACGTAAGGCTCCTGGTTTGCAATGCCCACTCTCCTTCAGAGGGGCCTCCAGGCGGGTTCCTCGCAGTCTTTTGGGGGATCGTCTCCTTGGACAGTTGGTCAATGGCGGGGGTCCATGAAACTGTCACATTGGAGGTCCAAAACAAGTCGAGCCGAACTCAACATCCAGTGTTCAGATTGGACTTGTGGTTTTCGCTGTTTCGGGGTGCTTCAAAAGGCCAGAAATCGGATGACTCGACTCCACAACTTCTCAGCAAAACGACCTGACACCCAGCGGGTCTCTAAGACGAAATCCCCCCCCTACTCGGAAGAGCCCCCCGAAGAGCCTCGTGGGCGGCCTTTCGTTGGTGTGAGGCTGTAGTCCACCCAGTGTTCAATGATATTCCCCACCTGAACCGGGCCATCCAACTATCCAATTGACATCACAAATTACCTGGCTTGCGAAGCCATACCCGGAACTCACTTTGAGAACTCATTCACTTTAAGGGACACAAACTTAAGTTACTTACTTAAGGGACATTTTCTGTGCCTGGCAAAGCCGTTCACCGTTCCTGGGGCCACGCCGCTTCATTTTAGGGTTAAACATGAATGAGCATCTGTGCTTTTGTTGGGCTAAGGCTCGAACATCAAGCCGAAAAGTCATTTCGGCAGGGCACAAAGCGAGTGAAACGGTCTGAAGATCCCGGG